CGCATACGACACGTTGGCCGCCTGTGCGCAGTGCATTCTAAGCAGCTTAACCGTGCCAGCACGGCTATAATTCTCACATCGATTGCTCGATAAGCACGTAAACAGCCTGCAGAGGACTGTGCTCCCACTCGCAGTGCGAAACGTTGTCAAATGGCAGCTGGAGCTGTAGCTGTAGCTGGAGCTGCAGCTGGAGCTGCAGCTGCAACGAGAGTGCAGCTGAATTGAGCTTTGTTTGCTGTTGCATGCATATCTTGGTCGATAAGTCCAACACGTTTGTACATTATCCCCACCCACCCACACACACATACATATATATGTATATATATAGATACATAACAACTTCATTTTCAGCTGAATAATTCGCTTGCCAAATGAAAACCTGGCACAAAACCTTTTTTTCTGGTAGCTCTTAAAATTTAAGCGAGGGTCGCGCTTCCGCCTGCTGCTGCTGCTGCTGCTGCTGGGGCTTGCTTCTATAGTTATTTGCATATTTGCGTTGCAATTTTCGTTACAGCTTGTAAATTTGGCTTTATATGCAAGGTGCAAATCTGTTTAGCGTACCTGGGCTGCCCTGCCACTGCCTGCAGCGCCACAAAATGGAGGCGCATTAGGATGCATTTATGCAAAGGCCAATGGAACTGGCGCAAAATTAAGTCAACGGTGTGTAAAGTAGCTGCAAGCCGACATCTAACAGTTTGCTTAGCACAAGTTGAGGAATGGAGTAATAGACCTGGGCAGGGGGTAAAAGGGGTCGCCAAATTATGAAATCAACGCAAAATTGAAACTTTGAAGGTCGCTGGGTAATCTGCGGHCATTTGCATTAGGGAAATTCTTTTTATGATTGCTTCTTGAATGTATCGGGTGGGCTGGCGATCCGAAATATGCCCGTAAATGTCAAAGCGCTTTATAATGCGAGCTAATCAGTCAAACTGCCAAATCAAGGCGAGCGCTTGCTGGTCGGGTCTGAATAAAAATGCAAATGGCTGACTGGTCCGCACACAACTTTTATGGGCACATTATAAACTAAATTGGGGAATGGAGCCGGAGTGCCGCAAAAGTCCATAAAACAAACATCAGCAGCCAGCAGCACCTAGTTAGGCTGTAAAACTTCTCGAAGAGCGAAACGAAATACAAATAAATTTCAGTTCATTGCCAGTTGCTGTTCTTGTTGTTGTTGTTGTTGATGCTGTTGATTTTTGAAATTGCCAAACAATACACCGAAGGAAACCATAAAATCTGTGTCGGTGCAAACGGAGAAGACACCTAAATAACTATAAAGTTCGCTCGAGCAAATGAATTAATTTATGCTTAGGCAACGCGGCGTATGCGCAATGTCGAAAATTTCATTTGTGGGTGTGGGTAATGAATTATGAAAGCATTTGTGCTGCCAGAGACGTGCTAATAACTAAAGTCAACGCAAGCTAATGCTGTTGACACCACACACATTCACACTCAAACTCACTCACCCACAGATACTGACTTGACATTACGTATACGACACGTTGAGCGCATTTTGGTAAAATGCCAATTGACTTTAATTGCGCTGCCTTAAAAAGTCCTGCATGTATGTTACNGTGTGTGTGTGTGTGTGTGTGGAAAACATGATGGTCCATTGAAATGTCAGCAGCTGTAGAGCAGCAGTCGAGGCAGTTTCACTAGTTTCTGGCTGGAAGCCATACTCTGTCCTTGCATTGCACTCTACAGAATTGACTCGCTGCCCTGCTGCTGCTGCTGCAGTTGCTGCTGCACAGCTGTGTGAAATTTAATTTTCAGCACACTTGATTTTTAAATGGTGCCCCAAGGAGGAGAGGTGGGCAGATAATTTGTACCAAAAATGTCTCCATTAAATCGTAAAGTGTAAGAATATTTTCCCTGGCCTCTGCGAGCTGTTAAATGTTATGAATTGGCTAGCAAAATGGGTGGAATGCATGTTAAATGCGTTTGTCGCTGCAGTCAAAGGAAAGGATATGGCAGAGAGAACATTGTGTACATACATATCAGCAGGCAGCATCCAGCCTGTATTGCAGCCGTAGCTGTAGCTGTAGCTGCCCGAAGGACATGCTGAATGCGTGTGCAATCTGGCAATAAATATTTTATATTTACAGTATGCTCTGCTCTGTGCTGGGTCTATCGATTCTGGAGCTTACGCTAAGCAGATCATGCAGATATCTGAGGCTCTGAGCACACAATACTTTATCGTATGTAGATATATGGAGATACCTTACAGCCAGATAAGAGTGAGAGATTCGCTAAAAATCTCTTAGCTCCAACTAACAGTTGCAAGTCATGGACACAATAGAGCAAGAGCTCTTCGCCTCGAGCGCTTTGCCCAGAGAGCGAAAACATTTTCTTAATTTTCCTCAAGTCCTGCACACATTTATACATGTACAGCTATCGACCCTATCGGACCGGCTGCAGGCAGGAAGCCAACACTCAGCTGCAGTTTCTTTTCTTTTCGCTTTTTTGTGGCTGTAGTTAATGGGCGTGGTTCATGGCTCCGGGCAGAGCTATTGGGCAATTATACATATAGCTATTTCGGCTGTCATGTTGGTGCTATTCGGGGACCATGTAGACCCGTAAATAACTGCGCAGATACTTTTATAATGTAACCCACTTCTACAAAGCATCAGTTAATCTGCAGTCCAGCGACTCTTTCGGCTGCTTAATTCCCTGCCATAAACATGAACTGAAACTAACATTTTATGATACATCTTTCGTCAGGGCAATTACGAGTGTATGTACGCATGCATCTATAAAATACGTACGGACAAGTATAATAAATGCGCCTAATGTTATCTCTAAGCATTGTATTTAGCCAGTTTAATATGCTCATTTGAGTAGATATATGTACGACAAAGTAGTCGACTTTGCAGCTCTTTCAGCTATAAACAAATTATATTCATTTATTTTTTATTATTTCTGGCTATTCCAAAACTCGTATAACTTTGTCAATAAACCAAAAATTCGCATAAAAGAATTTTAATGTCAATTCAATGTGGAGCTGTACTTAAACAGGGTATCTTCTAGCAGTATACTCCCGTCTGAGTACTCATATTTCTTATTAACATTCAATCTGATTATAAATGATATGGTTGATTCTTTTGAAACTGTGCAAAATCGCAGAATTAAATTTATATCCAAGTCTATCCAGTGTATCTATAGTGATTGCTCCTCTTCTATACCGAGATGTACAGCTTATATGATCTTCATTATTATTAATTGTAGGCGTTCATCTGCCATCTGCTTACTTAATATTTTCGTAATTTCTGTCAAATTGAAAACCTGATTAATTAAGATTTGTGTCTTTGATTTGCTAATTTGCCTGATATCAGTGCCAAAATGTAACTGATTTCCACTTCCTCACAAGTTGATAATTCAATTTGCTTGACACAATCCCACACACACACACACACACACACACACAGAGAAGACAATAGCAACATCTGTTTTAGCATTTAGGCATGACTGGATGTCGAGAAGAAGTGGCTTTGCCATGCTATTATCGTTTATTATTTTGGCAACTAATTAGGCAAACTTTTTGCTGTCTCTTTGTTTAATTTGGTACGTCTTTGGTTTGGTTTTGGCTTCGTCTGGCTTCGTTTGGTTTTTTTTTTTTTTTTCGGGCAGCCTGGCACGTTTGACGAGCCGTGTCAGGGAAAAAGTATAGCCTCAATTTTCTACGTGCAGACCATAAAGTTGATGTGTAATTTGGTTTTTACAAGCAATACGGCCAACTTGCCGAATGCTATTACAAGTTTTCAATTGTGTTAGGCCGACTTTCTGGCCAAGTTTGGAGTGCGGCATTAATAAACCATAACTAATGGGCATGCGAGTCTGATGACTGACAGCAGCTTAAAGACAATGGCGAGCACAGCAAACATTCTGTGCAATTCTGTAAAATTTAAGTTTGCAAAATGTTGAGCTTAGCTGGCGGCTGGAATTTAATACACAACAAGCACAAATCGAATGAAGCGCATAAAAAGCAAACAAGTAAATGAAATTTCCGCTCGTGTGCCGGGCATAGGAAGCCCTCGAAATAAGCGACAGGAGCTGGCCAAAGGACCAGCACGAGGACAAAGACGAGGACGCGGACGAGGACGAGGGCAAGAACGAGCTCCCACAGCGACTGGTCGATCGCTTAGTGGCAACACTAAATATGCTTCCTGCCTGGCTGCCAGGCTGAATGCCGGTATCAATAGCAGCTCTAGGTGTTGCTACATATATATATATATATATATATGTATATGTATATCAAGCACTAGTAAAGATGGCTTTGTGTTGTTATTTTGTTGTTACTCTCTGGACAGGTGCAGGCAGAGAGGCAGCCAGGTGAAGTGTTTGCTGTTCGTTTGTTATTGTGCAGTTTAAAGTGCCCGGAAATATGTTTAGCTTTATGAATCCATTTAGAGCTTAACTCCTGGCCTCTAGCCACGCCCAGTTGGCATTCTCTGATGCCCAATCAGCTTAGTGTAAATTACAGTTGTGGCCGCAGCAGAAAGTTATTTGCCAGGCAAAGTAACTACCACATAGAGCATTTTAGATAATATCTTTTGATTAGTGGCAACCGCAAAAACTTTAATTAAATTCGCACACAATTCTCCCTCTCCCTCTCAGTTTTCCTCTCTCTCTCTCTCTCTCTCTGTCTCTCTCTCTCACTTTTTGGGTGTATGGAAACTTTGTGCCCATGTCACCAGATAAGTTCAACGACGCGTAACTGTAGCCTAGTGTCGGCATCTCCTTTCCCCGTCTTCCTCCCCCCTCACACTCTAACCAACTCTCTCTCTCTCTCTCCTCCATCTTTAGTTTTAGGTCCTGCACACGCATGTCAGACTGGGCAGCTGGTAGCTGCCATTGTTTGGCTNTTGCCAGAGCAAACTTACCGTTAACTTCGGCTTTTCTTTGGAGTCTGCCAAAACTAACTAATGAATTAATTAGTTGATTTTTCGTGCTCAACTGCGCAAAAGTTGTGTTCGGCCCGAGCTAAACCACTTGAAGTTGTTCGTTCAAAATTCATTCATATTTATTTTATTTTTCATTTGTTTTCTTTCTTTCTTTCTTTTTTTCTTCTCAGTTTAAAGTCATGTTGGGCTCTTCCACAAAATATATGTATAGAAGTATAGTTATGTAACCCTCTGGATGTCATAAATTTGCTCACACAGCAAGCACACGGCAAGGGCAAGGGACAGTCAGCGCGACGCACAACACAACACAACAAACACACACACACACACCCAGACAGACAGATACACACACACAGGCACACAGCGTACTCGTAACTCATATCGAATTGCACCATTTGTTGTTTGTCTCCCTAGAGGATATTGAATCACTTGCGTTGTGTTCTTGTGGCTGTTCCTGTTGCTGTTGTTGTTGTTGTTGTTGTTGTTGTTGTTGCTATAGCTGTTGCTATTGGATGTCGGTTGTTGGCTGTTGTCCGTTGACTGTCCTGTGCCCGATGCGCGTCGTGTGCTGGCGCAAATGTCATGGCATTTTATCGTTTGACGCTTTCGAATTTGATAAATTTATCACAGCTTACAAAAATAAAGCGCAGGAAATCATACGAATTTATGCAAATTATAAAGAAATTCCTTTCATAGTTTATGTAATGGGCCAATGAGCTCACAGGCCAACAGCCACGTTCACGCACTCAAACATCAAGTTTGTCTTCGCTCGCCCCAGTCTGTCTCAGTTTCGTGAACATCGCTGTTGCCGGACGCATAGCATATGCCGAACATTACATGCCCTTTACAATGGGTGTATTACGAGTACAAAAAAAGCTAAAAAAGAAGCTAAATAAAAAGTCAAGAATTCATTAAAGTACAATTGAAATAAGCTTAACCTAACCTAAGTTTCATTCGTTTTGTCATGGCTATTTATGTTGGTTTACGTTCATGTCTCTGTCTATTTGGAGCCCTTCTTCTTCTTGGGCATTTGCGCCCAGAGCCGGAAGAAGTACTCGTCGCGTTGAAGCAGCCTGCCCCGGGCATACGAGTGTATGTCCGCATCCATATTGTGATCCCGCAGCCAGGAGGATGTGTTGCATGTGCTCATCTCTGTGCGCGGCTCGTCGGGCAGGCTGGCATGACCTGCATCACATGAAAGTTATTGGAGTGAGTGTTGGCGTTAGCTATGCTGTAAATCTGTGAGATAATAAACATTTCAACATACCGGCTGTCATCACTTTGTAGGGCTCCTCCGATTCGAGCGGCTCACTCAGGCCAATCTCGTTCTTGGCGAGAATGCGTATCATGTATTCGTGATTCTCTTGCAGGTCTCTTATCTGGAATTTCTGCACCCCGGCTGGCACCCGACCGACCTCAATCCACATGGACTTCTTCATGTCACGTATGGCAATGTGGTAGCCGAGCAGTGGCGCACCACCATCTGACTCGGGTATACCCCATTCGAATACGTGTGCATTGGCCGCTAGCACTCGGGCCTCCAGTGGAGCAGTCGGTGGCGATGGTACAGCTGGTTCAAGAGTGGAAACGGATTAGAGCTGCGCCAAGCTGTCTAGCCAAGCTCAACTTACTTGCGTGTGTCTTCAGCGATATGCTCTCCGTGACGGCTGGCGCACCTAATCCAACCTCGTTCTCCGCTGACACACGGAACCAATACTCGCACTTGTCCTTCAGATTGTCTATGGTGTAATGCAGCTGATGGGCATCCAGGGTGATGACCTTTGTCCAGCTGGTCGATGTTGAAGAGCGCTTCTCCACGCAATAGCCTGCGGATACGCACATTAATTGATTCTATTTCTGTTTCCATTTGGTAATTTGATATTATATCTCACCTGTGATTTCGGAACCTCCATTTCGAGCTGGCACCTCCCAGTCGAGTGTTACGCTGCGGCTCGTCACATCCGGCGCTCTCAGATTTTGCGGAGGCGAAGGCGGCGCTAGAGTGGGAAGCATTAAAGCGATTATTGATATAAAAATACGATTGCAATTCCACGGAAGCTATCACGTACCCAAGTTTTCATTGTTATTCGCTGTTCAATAATTATTTTTGCAAAGCGAGGCATTAGTGCGCGTTAAGGGAGAAAGCAGTTTGCAAAGCAAATTAAGCAATTATCATTATTTGTTGCGTCCATCACTTACTTATCTTGCGTCCAACGACAATCTTCTCAGTTGTCTCGAACGCATCGCTGGTGCCAACCTCGTTTCGAGCGTAGATTCGGAACAGATAGCCCTTGTTTCTCACAACGTTGTCAACTTGAATGTTTGTTACAGTGCCCGTCGTAGTGCCCAAGGAGCGATAAACGGTTTCAGTCTCTTCCCTTATTTCCACAATGTACTCAATTATCTTGGAGCCACCGTCGCTCTCCGACGGCTCCCAAGACAATGTGAACGAAGTGTCGTTCATGCCAGACACCGACGTGGGATCACGTGGTGGAGTTGGTTTCTCTGTATATAGGAGGAAAGGAATATTTGCTTCTATTAATTTGCTCTCTGTTAATGATGTTGTAAAATACATACCAAACTTCCTGGTTATGGTCACAGGCTCACTCTCTGTTGGTTCAGATTCGCCTATGGGATTGACAGCCACCACTCTGAACATGTACTGTGCATTCATGGAAAGTTTTTGAATGGCATACGAGTTGATGTCCTTGTCGAAGTCGGAAACCTTCATCCAAACTTTGTTCTGTAGATCGCATTTCTCCAGCGTATACTGCTTAATCTCCATGCCGCCATCGTCGACTGGTGGCGTCCATTCCAGGATGATCGAGTCCTTTTTGACGTCCTTAACCTCCAGGGACTGTGGCCTGCTGGGCTTGTCGATCACTTGAACCGTGCACTCCGCGTAGCTGGAGCCCGATTCATTGCTGGCCGTCACCTTGTAGCGSCCAGAGTGTTCGCGAGTTACCTTCTTAACGGTATAGGTGGAACTGGTCTCTGTGGTTTCGATCGTGACTTCCTTGGTGGACTTCTGTTCGACCGTCTCCTTGTGCCAGGTCACAGTCGGCTGTGGATAGCCGCGAACTGTTGCCGGAATGGTGAGAGTGCTGCCAGTGCGCARTTTCTGGGACAAGTATTTGTCCTCGATTTCAACGGTTGGCTTCTGCTGCAGCTTCAGTCTGCACGACGTCTCCACGGAGCCCTTCTCATTCGTGGCCACGCACGTGTAGGTGGCCTCAGTCTCAATAGTTGTCTTTTCAATTGTGTATTTGGCAACGCGATTCTCGTAGCGCACGCTGCTCGACTCAAATACTTCGCCATTCTTCTTCCATGTGACAGTTGGCTCTGGAATGCCGCCRAACACACAGGACATGGTCACCTCCTTGTTCAGATCGCTRACAATATCCTGCAGAGGCTCYCGTACGCTGGGTGCTTCGGTCTCAACCTTTGGCACCAGGCGTATGGGYGACGAGATGGGTGAGGGCGGGGATGGACCAACTTCGTTGACGGCAATCGAGCGGAACACGTACTCCGTATCGATCTTCAGCTTGCTGATGGTGTAAGTTGTGTCCTTAATCTTGCGTATCTCAGTCCATCTATTGGAATTGTCCTTTTAGTTTCTGATAATTTATCAAAAAAAATGCTACTTACTTTTCTTCTTTCACATCATGATACTCCAGAATGTATTCAATGATTTCAGATTTGCCATCATCTTCAGGCGCCTTCCAATAAAGCGTTATTGAATCGTGCATCACCTCCAGAGGCTGTGGCGTGCCTGGCGCCGCGGGTTTACCTAAAGTTTTGACACAGGTCTCAGTTTCCGCATCGCTTAATTTRTAATTAATTTTGTATACTTACGCATAATGAGCAAGTGCAGGCTGGCCTCTGCCTCGCCCACAGGATTCACAAGTTTAACAGTGTACTCGCCCTCGTCATCGTCGACAACCTTCTTGATGGTCAGCGTTGCGGATTGCTCATCAATTGTGGGTATAGTACGCTTTGACTTGGGAATGACAACCTTGCGWGAGGTCCACTCGGCCTCGGGTGTGGGCGCTCCGGTGTACTTGACAGTGAATGTGGCGTCTTCGTTCTCCTTCACTTTGATGGTTTGATCCTTGTCAGAGGTAATCACGGGCGGCAGTTTAAGCTCCTCAACGCATAGCTTGCTGCTGCTTGTGACGTTTTCGGCAACACAGCTGATCTCGCCCGCATCATCATCGTCGGCATCATGGATGACCAGGCGTCTGACGGTGCCCTCAACAAACACTTCATGCTTCTTGTTGGGCTTGATGGGTTTTCCCTTCTTGTGCCAGGTAACTTCGACATCGGGCTGGGAGAGCTCAACGGTGAATTCAGCATCTGTGGTCTTGGTGGCCAGCGTGACATCTGGCAAACGCAGTACAAAGTCTACCAAAGGCTCCTCAACTGTCAGTTTTGCCTTGGAGACCTGGTCGCCAACTTGAATGGTATATTCGCCCACATCTTCAGGCTTAGCCTTAAGAATGCGTAGCGACTGCTTCTTACCATCAATCGTCAGTTGAATGCGTTCATTGAACTTGATTTCCTTGCCGTTCTTGAACCATTTTACCAGAGCATCGCCCTTGCTCAGCTCAATATCGAAYATGGCATTCTCGCCCTTGGTGACGTTCACGTCCTCCAAGTGCTTCACAATCTCTGGTGGCAGCTCAATGACAGTCAGCTCGGCGCTGCACTCCTGGCCCTCCAGCTTGCACGTGTACTCGCCCTCATCATGAATTGTGGTATCGCGTATTACCAAGCGTCTTGATTTGCCATCCTTGATGAATTCGCAGTTTTTGTTTTCTGGCATAATTTTCTCGCCATCCTTGTACCAGGTGACCTCCACGGCTTCGGTTGTCAGCTCAACATCCAGAATCGCCGTGTCCTTTTCGGTGACCTCATAATCCTCTAGCACCTTAAGGAAGTCCGGCTTACGCTGCAGCACTTCCACAGTTGATTGTGTCTCTTGCTTCTTGACCTTGCACACATAAGTACCAGAATCGCGTAGGTTTGTGTTCCGGATGACCAACTTGTGCGTCTTGCCATCCTCGACGACAACGCGATGATCCATGCCGCTCAGCTCTTTGCCATTGAAGAACCATTTGGTGGACACCACATGAGAGGTCTCGCACTCAAGAGTCAGAGACTGCACCTCCTCAATGGTAATGGTCTTCTTTAATTTCTTGGTAAAGGTCACCTCATCGACTTCAACAATCACACGCGCACCGTGCGATGTTTTGCCAATGGGATTGCTGGCGATGCACTTGTAGTCACCCGAATCAGTTTCCGGATTGGCATCCTTGATAATGAGCTCAATATTTTCACCATCGTAGATCTGTTGGATTCGCTCGTCGGTATACAGGGGATTGTTGTTGAAAAGCCATTGCACCTCAGGCACTGGATTGCCAGAGACCTTAGCAGGCAAGTGAATCTCGCCCTTTTGTGGCACCGATTGCTCCTCAAAGCGCTCCACAAATAATGGAGGCTCTGCATTGCCACTCGTCGGTTCTAGTAGGAGATAGAGATGGAGATGGTTTGTTTTAATTAATATTTGGGTAGATCATTGTATATCCAGTTTTCGCTGAACATGAAACAGATTAACTTACCTTCAATTGTAAGATAAGCAGTGGTTTCTACACTGCCCAATGGATTGACGGCCTTGACTGTGTACTCGCCCTTCTCCGACTTTTTGGGCGTTATCAGTGTTAGGGTGTGGAGGTCTTTGTCTGACTTGGCATTCTTGATGGGCTTGCCATCCTTGTACCACGTTACCTTTGGCGCTGGATTGCCTACAATTTGTGTCGAYAGCACAACGCTTTCGCCCTCGCGTATAACCATATTGCGCAGGGGCTCCAGAATTTGTGGAGCCTCCTTGTCCGAAGTTCGTACCTTCAGTGTGATAGGCAGACGAGCTTCGCCTTCGCGATTTGTGGCAATCACTTCGTATACGCCCTCCTGTGATTTCTTAACCTTTGTAATATGCACCACACTACAATACATATGCATATCCGATTCGGTTACAATTCGAACATTCTTAATCTCTTCCTCGTCAATGTCTTCCCCATTGAAGGTCCAAACGATGTCAGGCTCGGGCACCGCAACAAGGCGGCACTCCAAGATTACATTGGTACCTTCATCGACATATTGAGCCTTGGGCTTGCGCGAGAATGTCGGCGGAATGCCCTCGAGAATATCGGCCATGGAAGACTCACGTGACATGCTTCTGCGCGAGAGTGCCGTGGCATCTGAGCCGTGATCCGACAACGGACTCTCGACAATTAACTCTGTTGTACTGGAAGTGAAGCCAGCGGCATTCTTGGCCACGCAAGTGAACTTGCCAGCGTCTTCGGGGAAGACTTCACGAATGATCAGTGTGGCCACATTGTCCTCATCGTAGAACATTTGGAAGTCTTGTGAGGGCTTTATAATGGCTGTCTCSCGGAACCAAGCGATTTGCGGTCGGGGATTGCCTTCGACCTTGCATTCGAATTGCACTGTATAACCGTCAGGCGTATGAATTGGTTGCAACTTTTCAATGAAACGCGGTGCAATCGGCTTGTCTTGCGGTCCAGGTCCTTAATAAACGCACAAGTCACAATACATTAAGATAAGTGTTAATAACGTGACGGGACAATGTTACCCCCTTGTTAGACAAAAACATTTTGGTTTACATATCATACTTACTTTCAAATACGGGTAGCTTATCGATCTTCTCGTGCAGCTTATTCTGCACGTATTGGGCGTACTCCGCGGGCTCCATAAGATATTGTGCTGGCACCCAACCTTCTTCCTCGGTAATGCTCTTCTTGACATACCACCACTCGGAGCTATGACGTCCAATGACCTGTACCTTTTCACCTTCTACCAAATTAATAGCTTCGTCGTTATCGGCAATGTAATTGCAGATAGAGTACATGATGTTCTCGACTTGAGATTCTGAAATAAAAGAAATGTTATTAAATATTTGCTAGGTGTATAAAATTGATAAAAATATTTACCATCCACATCCATTTCTCTGGTAATGTTAAGAGAAGCGCCATCTGTTCGATAGTAAAAATTTTATATTGTTATTCTATAATGTTATAATAAAAGCTATTCTTTGGTGAATTAGATATACATGTATGGTTGTTATGCGTTAGCTACTAACATTTATGTGTGTTGGGTCGTTTTACCTCATTTTTGATAAGCTATTGCCATATAAGCAGATGCACGATTTGAATTGAATGAGAAATTATTGCGGCCTGATATTTATATAAGTTTCTGAGTTTTAATATAAGCCAAAAGAACTTACCTTCATTGAACAGCTGTTGCACAACTTTACGCTTCTTTTTGAATGTTAGAGAATCTTCATCATACGTAATTGAATCACGTTTGGCATGTCGAAGGCCAATAAGGAATTGCTCTTCTTCTTCGTCTTGGACTGAATAATGTGGCTTGGGGTGTTTCTTAGGTTTCAGCTTGAAGTCAACCTCATCTGGTGGTAGCTCTTCAACCATGTACTCTTCWGGCTCCTCGACCTCGTCGATGGTATCTTCGTCGTCGTGGATTTCTTCAATTATTGGACCTTCTCCATCATCATAATCTTGCACAATTTTAATTCTAGCCTCATCACTGGCTTCAGAGTAGGTCTTCTTAATTGGTTTCTTAACTTTCACTTTACCAGACATTGACACTTCTTCTTCGGCATAAGAGTCAAGAGCAATATTAAACTCTTGGTCCACATCTTCTTTAGTCTTCGTGGACTTTGCCCGGAAAGTAACATTCTCGACATCAGAGAACTCTGGAATATCCACCTTCTTGCGACGTTTGAGCTTCTTAATAGTGTACTCTTGGTCTTCTTCGTCAGTGATTTGCAATTGTTTTGGTTTGGGCCTTTGGCTAACCACAAATTCTTCAACGTCATCGCCTTCTTCGTATTCTTCTTCCAGTCGCTTTATGGACAATTCCGCTCCAGCTTCATCGAGGGTTTGAGGCTTCACTGGTCGTTTCTTAAGAACTGTAGCTGCTTCTTCAACGCCTTCGGTAATAGTATGTGGCTTTTTGAATGAGAGACTGAATTCAGTTTCTTCGAGATCTTCAACAGTTGGCTCGAATGGCTTCTTTGGTTTCCTTCGTATTACAACTGCTTCTTCAACGACTTCCTCCTCTTCAATCTCAACTGGTCTCTCCTCAATAACAGTTTGCGTAAGTTGCAGCTCATCTGCAGCTTCTTCTGTTGGTTTTTGAGGCTTCTTCTTCTTCTTGAGCTGCACAGTTTGGTCGGATGTTTCCTCTGTAACCTTCTTTTCTGTTGGCAACTTAACATCTACTGAGAAGTCTTCTTCCTGTACTTCCTTTGGTGCCTTTGGCTTCAAAGTAACTTCAGCAACGACCTCCTCTTCTTCTTCAGGAGCTTTGGGTTTCTTAATTTTGAAAACGGCATCATCAACTGTTTCTTCCGGTGTTGGCTTTTCTGGCTTCTTAATTTCAACTTCCTCGACGACTTCCTCTTCGACAACTACTGGTTCGGGAGCAACTTCTTCTATTACCTTCACTGTCAGCTCTTCAGCAGCCTCCTCAATAGCCTTAGGCTTGGGTTTCTTCTTCGATACTTTTACTTCCTCCTGTACTTCTTCTGTCTTTGGTTTGGGTTTGAGTGTAACTTCGGCTTCAGGCTCTTCAGTCACTTCAGGAATCTTTGGCGTTTTCTTTGGCAATTGTACCTCTTGAATATCTTCAGTCTCTTCTTCTGCTGGAGCTTCAGGTTGGGTTTCCTTGACTGTGAACTGATACTCGGTGGGCTGCTCGACTGGTTTTTCCTCAGGCTTTTCTTCTGGTTTCTCCTCAATTTCTTCCACAATTTCAACTACCTCAGGCTCTGGAGCAGATTCCTCAGTCACAGTGACACTGAGCTCTGCAGCTGCTTCATCCTGTTTTACGGGTTTCTTCGTCTTCTTCTTAATTTTCGCCTCTTCTGTAACCTCTTCAACWGGTTGTTTTTGTTTTATTTCAAAAACRGCTTCAGGCTCTTCTACAACCTCAGGCTCAGTCTTCTTCTTCTTTTGAATAGTGAATTGCTCTTCCGGTAATTCCTCGACAGTTTCTTTTTGCTCTTGAACCTTTTTCTTCTTTGGAATTGTTACTTGTTCTTCTGACAATTCCTCGATAGTTTCTTTTCGTGCCTCAGATTCTTTAATGCTAAACTGATAGTCCTTCGGCTTTTCTTCAGGTACTGGTTCAGGAACTTCTTCTTCCACTGTTTCGATTTCCTCAATCTCCTGAACAAGCTCTTGTGGCTCAGAAACCTCGTCAATAACAGTTATCTTTAGCTCAGCAGCTTCCTCTTCTGTTGGGATTTCGGGTACAATAGTAACACTTTGGACAGCCTCCACATCATCCACCGATGTTGGRGCAGGAATGCTTACTTGAGCCTCAGGCTCTTCTGTTACCGCTGGTTTTGGCTTCTTCTTGCGGTGAACCTTAACACTCTCTTCGAGAACTTCCTCGACAACTTCACGGGGTGTTTCTTCAATCACTCTGACTTTAAGCTCTTCGAAGGTTTCTGGTTCTTCAGTTATAGGCTCTTCAACTAATTGCTCTTCTGATGGTACTTTCTCTATAGGCTTTTCAACAACTGATTCTTTCACACCTATTTTATATGATTTGTGTTCAACAGTAGGTGCCGTTTCTTCGATTTGGGGCTCTTCTACCAAGGGCTCTTCAACTACTATCTCTTCAGCGGGCTTTTCAGCTTCAGTTTCCTTCACACCAATTTCATACGACTTATATTCAACAGTAGGAACAGTCTCTTTAATTTCTTCCACAACTTCCTCAATTTCTTCCACGACAGGAACTTCTTGTGGTGTTTCTTCCGTGATTTGGATCTTTAATTCTTCTGCTGCAACCTCCTTGACCTTCTTTTTAGGTTTCTTTGTCTTGATTTCTGCTACCTCGGTAACCTCTTCCACAGGTTTGCTTTCCTTAAGCACAAACTCGGCTTCCGGTTCTTCGGTAGCAGCAATGGAAGGCTTTGCCTTTTTAACAGTAAATTCGGCTGCAGTTGGTTCTTCTGGCTGTTCAATTTGTGAATCAGATACTCGAATTGTATATTCCTTTGGTGTTTCTTCAACTGGAACAGTTTCTTTTTCAACAATTTCAATTTGCTGTTCTTCAACTACAATTTCTTTTGGAGCTACCACTTCTTCAACAACCTTTACATCCTGAGTTATAGCCTCTTCAGTTTTCTTTGGCTTCTTTGTTTTCTTTGGTTTTATTTCAGCTTCCACATGACTCTCTTCAGTCGGCTTTGGTTCTGTGAGGACAAACGCGGCCTCGACTTGTTCAGGTTGCTTTGGCAGTGGAATAAATGTTACTTCGTCAGGAACATCTTCGGTAGGCTGCTCTTCCTGCTGGATTACTTTTTCCGCTTCTGATTCCTTAATGGAAATTTCATAAGAGTCAAACTTCTCTTCTACTTTCGGAGCTGGCTTTTTCAACTTTTCTTTTGGTTTTTCCTCAATTACTTCTGCCGGTTTTATTTGAGGAGCTTCAGTTTCAGTGACTTGGAATTCGAAAGATTTTGGTTGTGATTCTTCAACCTTTTCTTCTTCTTCCACAAYCACGATGTCTTCTTCTCTTTGCTCCTCAGGTTGAGCTTCCACAATGTTCACTACATCTTCGACAACCTCCACTGACTTTTCAACTGGCTTCTTTTTCGACTTCTTCTTTACAACGACTTCAGTTTCCTCAGGTTGTGGTTCAGTTATCTTTAATTCGACTTCGAATTCTTCATTTTCTGGCTGAGGCTTCTGAACGGGTAGCACAACCTCGGCAATTGCCTCTTCGGGTTCAGGCTGTATTTGTTGTGGCTCCTGTAGAGTGACTTTGAACTCTTCTGGCTGTTCCGGCTTAGGCTTCTTCTTCCTGGTCACAACCTTTTCTTCCACTATTTCCTCAGTGGTTATTTCCTTTTCGTCAAAGTCAATCACCTTAACTTGATGTTCCTTTGGCACTTCTTCGGGTTCCAGGACAGTTGTGGTGATTCTGTACTCCACTGGTATATCTTCAGGAGCTTCAGTTGGCTGTGGCAGCTCCTCGACGATATCAACTTCAGCTTTTGGAGCTTCTTTCGGTTTCTTTTGTTTCACTTTTACTTCTTTGGGCTTTTCGACATCTTCGAGCTTCTCAGCAATGGCTTCTTCTTCCCTAACTGATATTTCAAATTCTGGCTGTTGCTCTTCTGTTACTTCCTCCTCCTGTTGTTGTTTGGGCTTCGGCTTTGATTTCTTCGTCTTCTTGACTTCATCTTGAGGTGTGACTACCTTCTCTTCTGGCGTGGGCTCCGTTACCGTTGCCTCTGCARTAGTATCTTCAACTACTGGCTCCTCAACAGTCTTCTTGAATGGTTTCAACTTCACTTGAGAATCAGTTTCTTCAGGCGCTTCACTTTCGGGCTTGCGGAACTTAATTTCAGYTTCGGGAACTTCTTCTTCTTCTTTGGGCTTTCCAGGTACGATTTCTGTAATAATCGTTTCCGGTTCAGGCTTTGTTTTTTCCTTGGGCTTATATTTGGTTTTACTGGGCTTCTTCTGCTTTTCTGGTTTCTCCGGCTGATCGACTTGTTCAAGTTCTTCTGGAACGTATTCAGGTTGCTCATAATCAATGGGCTCAAATGGTTCAACCTGTATATCCTGTTCCCTTGGCACCTTTGGTTGCTCCACGACTGTAACCTCGGCCTTTTCTTTAGGTTTTGCTTCAAATTCTTCTTCAGCTTCCTTGGGCTTTTGTGGTATCTTTTTCAGTGTAACATTTTCTGGAGATTCTTCTTCTTTCGGTTTCTTCTTACCCTTGCCAATCTTAAGCTTTGCATCTTCGGGACTTTCTTCTGGTTTTGGCACCTTTTCAGGTTTTTGGTAAGGTTGCTTTTCTTCAGGTTCCTCCTCGCTACTAACATACTTTTCATACTTTTCAAGCTCAACCTTCTCCAAGTCATCCTTTATTTTCCTAATCTTCTTGGTCTTGTGTGGCTTGAACTTAAGTAGGTTTTCTGCTTCTTCAATATTGCGAGAAAGGTCACCATTCTGCTTAACTGCGCCAATATGGCTTAGCTTTGGTATGAGTGGTGCTGGCGGGTACTCAACYATAACCATGCGAGTTTTAAGTCTGAATTTGGGAAGCTGTACAGTTTGTTCTTCTGCTGGTTTTTCCTTGCGTTTTCCCGGCTTTAGCTTCACCGTCTTCGGTACTTCAGTGGCCTCAACGATTGTGACCTTTGTTGGCTTCTGCTCTTTTCTTTCAATTTTCATTGGTTCGAGACTAGCAAACTCTGGCTTCAGTTTCTTGGGAACATCGAAATCGATCTTCTCATATTTCTCCAATTCCGTTTTCTCGATTTCTTGCTCAAGCAGTTTTTGTATTAATTCGTCGTGCTCATTAGTCTTCTTTTTCACCACCTTCTTTTTCTTAGTCTTTGGCTTTGTGACATCCTCCACAGTGCTTTCAGTAGTCGGCCTCTCATCCTCCTCTTCTTCTTCGACGATTGGTTGAGACTCTTCGATTTCGGCAACCTCATCGATCACTCTAACTTCCAAAATTTTCTCAGGCTGCTCTTCTTTTTCTTCAGGCTCTTCATCAATTATGCTTATGTKATAATCCTTATAAGCCTCGGGTGCTTCACCTGTTATAGAAATTTGTATTTTAAGTAATATACAATTCTTATAGCTACATAATGAATCCGTGCATTGCCTTCGCGGAAGAATGCAAGCAAATCGTTGAGCTTGATCAATATTTAAATATTTACAGCAGTTTTACGAAAATAATAGAACGCTGTCCAATATAAAATAAACTTCCTAGATGTATTAAAAACTTAACATATAAGTATTTGGAACAGTTAGTCATTTTATAAATATAAATGGAATACAGTTTAGAGAAGGCAAACAAGAATCTTAGTAGATTTTTTTTTTAATATAAGAGCATGCATTTGGGTGTTATAATATATTGGATAAGTGTGTTTATGTGGGTATAAATAATAAAATATATTTTTAGCTGAGTCTACTCAAATTAAAGAGCAGAGAATCAGAATCAGCAGAAAAGGGAGGGAGAGCAAAAAAGATTAAGAGAATAAAGAGAAAGAAAGTGAGGGGAACAGATAGAGAGAGAGACAAAGAGAATAAAACAAAGGAAGGTATAGGCGCGAAATGGTGGAAGTCAACGTTGGAATAAACAATAGGCAAAAGACACAGACAAAGGAGCAGGTGCTGCGTGTGCGGTGGAAGTTTGAAGCCTCAATAAACTCTCAGCTAATAACTTACTTGTTTCAACGCTTTTTACTGTGTCTGGCTTAGCTTTCTTATGCTTAACTGTTTTTTGAACTGTATCTTTAGTGTCATCTTGAGTAGGTATTTCATCTTGTGCGCTTGGTGTAATTTGTGCAGTGGCTGTGTCCTCGGGGTGTGCGATTTGAGTAGTTGTGTCTTCAGTAATTTCTGATGTCTCAGGAATAGTATCTTCTGTTGGTTCGTCTTGTCTTTGTTCGACTACATCAACTAATTTTGTTTTGGTTGTCTTGGTYTTTTTRGGTTTGGTTGAATCAACARCTGCTAATGGTGTTTCAGGCTCGCTAGACTTAACYTCTTCTGMAGAGATTTCAATAGGGGATTTGTCTTTCGGCTTTTCAGGCATTTCAACTTTTTCATAAACCTCTTTTTCAGTCTTTGGTATTTCTTCYTCTATCAGTTTCTTAACATAATCATCTAAGTCATCTTTCTTTACTTTCTTTACAATCTTCTTTGGCTTAGGTTTGGGCTTTGGTTTGTCTTCAAATATCTCATCTGGTTTAGTTTCAATARMCTCTGGCGTGATTTCAGGTTCTTCGTCGACGATTACAGTTACGGTATCAGTATTTTCGCTTTCGACTGTTGTTATTTTAAAGGTGGTGTCTTCTTTAGGACCCTTTTTCTTCAATACTCGCTTAGTAGTTTTCTCTTGAACTGGGAGACCCTCTTCAGTGATTGTTTCAGTGTATTGTACTTCCTCTGGTTGAACCTCTACTACTTCAACCACGTTAGGCTCATCCATCACATCCTCTTCGATAACCTTAATTTCGGCTAATGGCTCTGGCAAAGATTCTTCTTCCTTTGGTGACTGTTGCGGCTTAGACTTTTTGTCCTTCTTTCGCTTTTCGGTCGGTGATTCCTCTACCACTCCAATATCTGTAGTTTCGGTAAGTTTTTCTTTGGGTAATGGCTCAAACTCAATTTTTTCGAATTTTTCTAATTCAGTTTTAGGAGTTTCCATGTCAATAAGCTTCTGTATATAGTCATGTATATCATCTTTTTTCACTTTCTTGGTTTTCTTTTTCGGCGCCTTAGGCTTTTCGTCTTCTTTTTGTTCTACAGGCTCATACTCTACAATCGTAATCTCTGCATCAGGCTGGTCATCAGTCACTACCTCAATAATTTCAATGATTTCCTCATTTTCACCTTTTGGACGTTTAATCTTCCGCTTTGTTGTAACGACCTTATGGACCTCGCCAGCATCATCTGTGGTTTCATCCGCTTTCGTTTCACTTTCAATTATTTCTACAACTGATGGAAGATCTTCCAGTTGAATGAAGCTTTCTTTTACAGAGATTTCGTAGGCTGATTCGTCTGGTTGATCGTTTTGTTTCTCTCTTATCTTCTTTGGCTTCCTTTCTGTTTTCTCCTCAGGTTTAGGTTCTTCTTCCGAGAGAGTAACACTATATTGCTTTACATCCTCCTCTTCAATATCTGTCTCCTTTGGTATAGGCTCCAAAGCTTCAACGACTATTTCTTCCTGAGGTTGTTCTTCAGAAACCTTAACCTTTTGCTTAGAAGGCTTCTTTTTCTTCCGCGGCTCTATTACCTCTTCTGATATTTCATGTTCCTTATCTGACTCGACGATTGGTATTGTTTCTTCTACATCCATGGTAAACTCTTCAATTGGCGTTTCCTCCGGAAGACTTTCAACAATTTCTACTGTATCAGCCGGTGTTGCTTTTTCTTCTAATAATGGCAATTTTTCCTTCTTCTTAACTTTCTTTGGCTTTTCAGRAACCTGCTCAGGAACTGTTTCTTCAGTAACATCAACAACATATGTTGGCTCATCCTTTGGTATATCTTCTTCAATAACTGTTCTGATGAAATCATCAACGTCATTCTTTTTCACTTTCTTGGTACGTTTTTGCTTGACAGCTACTTCGTGCTGATCCTCAGGTTCGTTGGGACTGGAAGTTACGATAGTAATTTCAGATTCACCAGTATCCTTATCCTGTACAACTGTTATGTCATGAATGATCTCTGCTGGTCCCTTTTTGTGTTTTATTTTCTTTGTTTTTACTTCCTTTACTTTAATCTCTCCTTCCTCATCAGGAATCGGTTTATTTTCGACAAATTCCTCTAGAACTGTAATTTCGAAAGATTCTTCTTTTGGTTTTGGCGCAGCAAATTCTTTAACCGTAACCATCGCCAGAGATTCGTCTTGTGGAGTTTCTAATGGTTGTATTATATCTTCCGGACCTCCAGTTACTAATTTTTCAGGGATATCTGGAACTTCATCTTCTGTGATCTTAATCTTCTTCATAGGCTTCTTCTTTTTCATTATAACAGGTTCATCGAAATCTATTTTTTCGTATTTCTCCAACTCAGATTTTGGAATATCCTGTTCTATAAGCTTTTGTATATAATCGTGTATGTCATCCTTGGGAACCTTTTTAGTCTTCTTGACCTTTTTCGGCTTTTCTACTGGAAGAGTTTCTTCAATTTCTTTTTCAGCTTCTTCAGTAGTTACTGAAACTTCATATACAGGTATACCATCCTTTTCAGTCTCGACAATTTCTATTATCTCTTCTTTGGGTCCAACTTGCTTTCTGATCTTTCGTTTATTAACAACCTTCTTAGTTGTTTCGCCAAGGTCGTCAATTTCTTCAACTACTTCCGGCTTAGTTTCGATTTCTTCTACTTGGAAAACGGGTCCCTCTGCTACCTGCTCATCCTCTGATTCCAAAATAATAATTTCAGAATCTGGCAGTTCAGTCACCTCTGCTTCGTCAACTGAAGACATTTTTACAAGATAGTTGGGATGTTTATCATCGCCAATTTCTTCAACAGGCTTTGACTTAATCTGCTTCTTCGGTTTACTAGGTTTCTTTTCTTCAGTGAGAACCGACTCAGTAACATCTACAGTATAATCAGTTAATTCTTCTGGCGTTGCACGCTCCACATTATCAGGTTGATCCGGCACATCACCTTCAGGTCTTTCAAACTTTTCAGGTAAATTTTCTTCTTCGCTATATTTATATTCCTTWGGAGATTTTTTAGTCTTCTTCTTCTTCTCTTCGATGATCTCCTTGACGTCTTCTTCAAGTGTTTCGACAGGTATTTGTTGTACAAAATCGTCAATTACGTTGATAACATACTCCTGTATGTCCTCCTTCTTTAGCTTTTTAGTTTTCTTTATTACTTTCTGTTCAACAATTGTCGATTCTTCAGTAACAGATGGTTCAATTTCTGTTACCTCAACGACTGTCACTTCTGCCATGGGTTGATCATCGCTAGTAGTTTCTGTTATCTCAAAGACGCTTTGCTTGGAACCCTTTCTATGAGTGACCTTACGCTTCTTCACAGTAACTTCTTTCACAACACCATCTTCTGAAGGCTGTTGTATAACTTCAGTGGTTTCAGCTATTTCATCTAAGACTATTGGAGCTTTCTCAACCTTTTTCTTTTTCTGCGGTTTTTCTTTCTTAGCTTTTGTTGTCGGTTCGTCATTTATGTCTTCAATGGTCTGAGTTGGTTCTATGATTTCGTCTAGTACATTTACTAAGTATTTGTTTGCCTCATCATTCGCCAAAGGTAAATCTTCAGGCTTTTCTGATATAACAGATTCCTTATCTTCTTCTGTGACCTCAGGCTCTATTTCAGAAACATCGTATTCATGAACAGTTACGGGCAGACCATCAATTATTTCCACCTTTTTATGATGGGTTTTTACTTTTTTCTTTGGCTTGGGTTTTGTTTCCATTTCCGTGGGCTCATATTGCTCTAAATCCGTCTTGGTAATTTCTTGTTCGATAAGCTCTTGAATGTATTTATCTAAGTCATCCTTTACAGCCTTCTTCTTTTTCAACTTCTTAACTACCTTAGCTGGCTGCTCTTCACTTATCTGAGCTTCTTCTTCTACAGGTATCTCAGTAGTTGTTACTTCAATATCGGCGTCTGGCTTATTTTCTTGATAAGTTTCGGTTATCTCAATCAAATACTCTTTGGGTCCTTCTTTTTTCTTGAGTCTCTTTGTCGTTTTAACCTGCTTAACTTCTTCTCCTTCTTCATTTACAATGTCTTCAATTGTAGTTTCAGGAGCAAGCTCTTCAATACGAATAGTGTGATCTTCGGGCTTTTTACTGGATTTTTTAGGCTTTGTTGTCTTTGTTTTTATTTTAGCAGTCTTATCTTCAGTAATCTCTTCCACAGAATCTTCTGGAATTTCTTCAGCTTGAGTAACTTTGTTAAAGTCTCCTTCAGGAATTTCCTTGACTTGGGTTATATCCTTAAACTGTTCTATCGGTTCAATAAACTCTTCCACGACATTTATTACATAACTTTCAACGTCTTCGCGCTTCAATTTCTTTGGCAATTTGATTGGCTTAGGTTTTGATGG